TGACACGCGTGTCATAGGTTCGCCATCACTGATCTAGACCAACCAAGCAGGAGACCCTACACTATTTCTGACAGATGACATCCAGATTCTTCTTCAAAGCTTCCAGTGATGAAGCTCCCACAACCTCTGAAGATAAGGTCATTAGTTGATTGTTCTCATTGTCAGAAAAATTCTCCTTATTTCCAGGTTGAATCTCTCCTTGTTCAGTTTCCATCCATTATTCTTTGTCTGGCCTTCAGGTGCTTTGGAAAATAGCTTGACCGCCTCCTTGCTGTTACAGCCCACCTCTCAATATTGGAATCCTGCTATCATGTCACCCCTGGTCCTTCTCTTCAGTAGACTAGCCATGTCCAGTTACTCCAGCCATTCATCATATGTTTTAACCTCTAGTCCCCTAATCATCTTGGTTCCCCTTCTCTGCACTCTTTTACATTTTCCATTCTGTTGTAGATCTTGGTTATTTCTGGGGTGAGATCTGAATACAAGTTTTGCCATTACGTCCAAAATCCATTATATGGATGTCTGGAGAACCACAATTTTACTATTACAATATTACAAATATGAAATTCTACGTAATTCTAATATACAGTAGATAGGGGTAAGGGGCTGATGCAGTGTATTGAATTGAATTGACAAGAGAAAGAATTGTGTGATTAAGGAATCTCATCATGTTTAGAAACATACAAGGATACATTTAAATTAAGCAGAAGACAGAGTCTATCTGCCTTTGGGGCCAAAATGCCCAAGATATCTTACAGGTTAAGAATGATCTGTGCATGCATGGTATTTCATCTGTTCTTCAAACATCATGTGCAGGGAAGCATAACAAATGATGACTTCTTCTAGAAAGACCCTTGCACTAGCAGGAAAAAAAAACAGTAGCTAAGCAGTGTTTACATGCCTTAGCTGGTGCTTGGTTGTAGATATTGCATGCCTTTGGGGAAAACGCTGAATTTTTAAGAATCTTTTTTTAACCTCACGCTAACATGCCAGAAAAGATTCCTAAAGATACAGTGAGTTTCCCAAAGGCGTGCAGTATCTGCAACAAGCACCAGGTGATATTTAAAATGTGTGCCACTGTGACATTTCTCCTTGTGGTATCTTTCTGTTTCTTTGCTAAAAACTTCTTTGTCAAGAGTATGTTTAAAAAACAGCAAAGAGTTCCATTCACAGCTTTTCACTATTTAAAATCTGATTACTCCTTAATAACATATCAAAATGATTTCCATGTGTATACTGTATTTGATAAGCAGATGTTCTTTATTTGGGGTACCAGCAAACTAGTGAGTGTGATGAGTACAGCATTTTTCATATACCAGTGAAGAGCTATTCACAAAATAATCCGTATTTTTATGTTAGAGTTCAACAGAAGGCTCTTACAATGCAACCTTCTTAAATAAATCACACAAAACCCGCATTCATAAAGAAGGATTACTCTCTGAAAAATGGGAGCTACAGTTAGGGATGCACAATTCCAGACCAGAAGAAAGAGGATTTGACAACGAAAGAGAAGGTTAAGAATTGAGCTGCAGAATGGAAACTCAAGGAGTGTGCAAGTAAGTCCTAAAGGCTTTTTAATAGTAAAAAAAAAAAAAAANAAAAAAATCAACAAATATGCTCTAGCTCTTAAAGTATATTTTTCCAAGACTATGTGTTAATCACATCATGAAAGAAATAGAATTACGAACAGAAAGTTCTATATCAGAGATGGTATTCAGCAAGTTCTGACCAGTTCTGGAGAACCAGTAGCGGAAATTTTGAGTAGTTCGGAGAACCTTTAGATACCACCTCTGACTGGCCCCACCCCACCTATTCTCTGCCTCCTGAGTCCCAGCTGATCAGGAGGAAATGGGGATTTTGCAAAACCTTCCCCTTCCACGCCCACCAAGCCACGCCCACAGAACCAGTAGTAAAAATGTTTGAATCCCACCACTGCTCTGTATGCATCACTAGCTAGCTCACATACCTTTATCACATGATGCTTTTCATGCAGGATAGGTATCTTAAACATTTGACACCAATAGGTCGTGTCCTGTTCTGGTATAGCCACCTGTCTTAATAAAATGGAAAGAAAAATCTAATATAATATGAAGTGTGTTTTTCCCAAGACAATTCAGCATACAGTTCTGTTCCTCTTACACTGATACTTAACCCAAGTAACTTACGTTTTGGTTTGCCAAGTCAAAATATGGCAGGGAGGACGGGATTACAGCATTCTTCTCGGGATTCAATAAACGAAGACTCTTCGTTCCCCGATTAGAACCATGGTAGTTTTGACCTCCATATTTAAAGTCTTTCTCATGATAGGCCCATATTACTCGTACTGTGCTTTCCTGGAAAAAAGGAAAGCTGCTGCTGAGTTATGTAAAAACAAAACTAATCCTATGATCACAGCCTACCTGAATATATTTTCCATCTTGCAAAGATTTGGGGAGCATATGGCCCTCCAGATGTTGCCAAATTAGAATTGCTTGTAGTTGCTATCAGCATGACCAAAGTTGAAGAACACTGGTTCAGAAGTTCAGAAACCTCTGATGGGTCACATGTTTCAAATACTCCTGATCACACTTCTATATTAATATATGTTGTAAATGTATATTATTTCAACTCTGAGTAGGATTATTAATTCCCTTTTTTAATTTTACATTTTGCTTTTGTATTTTTACTGTAAATATTTTGATACAAAAGTAATTTGTCCTTAGGTAACCTTACATTTGGTTTACTATAGCATACTCTACACAGACTAGTATGGCTGTCAGGCTGTTATCTAGAATAGACTTCAAAGGCCCTATAACTTTTATTCTTAACTTGCCACATCATCTATATATTCAAATTCTGTCCCAGAAAATTCGTCAGCCCTCAGCCCAATTCCCTTGTCCAGTTGTTTCCAACTCTAGTGGGCTGTATTCATCTCCATTTCTTAGCCAAAGAAGCCAGGGTTTCCTGAGGAAACTTCCATGGTCATGTGGCAAGCATAACGATACGCCAAGGCACATGGAATGTTGTTACCTTCCAACCAAAGTGGTACCTATTTATCTATTCACATTTGCATGATTTTGAACTACTAGGTGGGCAGGAACTGAAGCAAAAACAGGAGCTCATCTCATAGTGCAGAACTCAAGTCTCAAACCTGGGTTATCAGCTTTTCAGCTGGCAAACTCAGTGTCTTTAATCACTAAGCCCTTGTGCCCACACAATAGAATAAACCCTCACTGAATTACAGATCAGAAGAGACACTTACATTGTACCTTCCCTAATCAGAACATACAGCAAAACAGACTGTTTATTATGGCATAATCAGCATAATGATTAGATTGAAAACAAGAAGCTAATATTAAGCTCTCTCTCTTCTTCATTCTTCTGTCTAATTTAGATTCATCATTAGGTTTAGCATTACCCTTTACCTACCGTTAGGCTCTTGTCATTTGGGTCACAAGTGTGAAGCTGCCGGCTGAAAGCTAGTATTGTGTGAGTATTATTTTCCATAGCATACTCCAGATGGTAATCCTGCTGAGAATCTTTTTTCAGTATTCTGTCTGCATTTGTGAAGCAATCCTGTTCAAGATAGAAATCAAAACATTATCCTGCTGCTCTTCTTTTTAAATGTTCTGAACTCCACAACATTTTCAATTTTGTGGGAAAGAATGTGTTGTTAATTTTCCAAATAAATACTTTATACTAATCAATGAGTGAAAATTTAATTATTTTTAATCTAGACTTTTGAATATAATTAACATTGCATAAAGTCCACATTCAGTAACTATTGTATAATAAAAGACCCTTATCTAAAGAGGTATCTATTTTGCAAGCATAAGGGTATTAGTGGACTTACATATATTTGAAAAAAAAATGATCCACAAGAACAAATTGTAAAAATAGCGTATTTCTGCATTATACACTTTCAACATGACTTCATAGTGATTTTCTCTGGCTACTATATAATATATGCACTATTTTTGTGTGTGTGCTTTTTTACTGTTGTTCCCTATTGGGTGGTGAGTAAAATAAAGAAATATGATATTTCTACTGTAACTGTAAATCCATTTTATTAGTTCCCAGGCACTTATTTATAAGGGGATAAGCATACCACTTATTGTGATCCTAATATATACTCTCTAGAGAGGAAACATTAAAATGGAACATGATATTGTATACCGCCTCATTTTGTCAAACTATGGAAATGTTTTACAGAGTCTCCCTGCTGTTTCAAGGACAGATTATCCTAGTCCTCATTGTAGCAAAAAATGATATTATGAATACGCTGCGTTAATAATGTACTATCATTAACCTCTTCACCTCTGAATTCTGTGTTATAAGGTGCAGCTGCTTTTTTGACCATCCAGGTCACCACAATTTCAGCAACTCTTGTGATTGCCATTCCAAAAACACATTCCATTGAGATTAGGATGATAATATTGCTTAATGTTCTTTCTAAGAGTTTTCGAAGAACTTTATGCAATTGTTTCTAGTTTGCATAGTGACCACACAGAGATATAAAATTTGCAGATGTTTTAAGGAGGTGGCAAAGCTACCATTTAAAGAAGTGTTTTGTTTTTAATGGAAATTTGCATAAAATTAAATAAATATCTATGTCTTATTTTTAGATGTAAATAAAAGGAAACGGCTGTGAATGTCTCCACTCCCAAAGGTTTTAGGCTAAGTGGAAGACAAGAAAAGATAGGCAAGATCAAACCCCAAAATCAAAAAAATGGAAATCTATGGGCAAAATGAAATGTCTAGCAGCCTTTTGTGGTAAGGAACTTAGTTTAGCAATTGTATTGCAAGTTTGTTTTTATAAATAATAATGTGACATACTAACTGTACTAATCAGAAATAATATGATACTACTGATTGGTAGAAGTTCAGAGATGCAACTATTTATCTTGTTTGAAATTTAGTCACTTCCCTGATAAGCAACCAATTTATGTTAGATTATCTATTTTAACCTACCTATAATTAGGCAAAATTAAACTCAATTTACATATTATCTTGAATGGAATATTTATTGTCACCACCATTTTGGTGCTCAATAACATGGTTCCATGACATGGCAATCTGGGTCACTGCATTCCAGATATTTTGAACAATTCTCATTCATTGCAGTCCTTATTTTATAGGCTGGAAGATAAAACATCTGGAAGACATTGGGCTGTCTATTTTGCAAGTCAGTTATCTCTATTATGGTAAAGTTAATATGTTGTGTAGCAGTTATTGAAATCAACCTATATACACACATTCACATACAATCACAGCCTACTATAGGCAATTCTAGGCTGCTGGATAGAATGAATGAATCAGATATGTTTCATTCAATAGACGTCATTTAGAAATTTCAGTAATATACAGTAAGATGATTTTACAGATCATAAAAATTGTGGTTTATAATTTCTTATAGATGAAGGCATTGAGGCTGAATTGCTTCTCATATGCTGTGACCCTGAACTTGTTCTCTTAAAAAGGATTTGCAGTTGATATGGTTTCTGATTACTGCTATACAAAACGGCAGGGAGTAATTTCTTAAGGATGTTGCAAAAAGATGCAAATAAGTTTTATTTTATCCCTAAAAAAATGAGAGCACAGCTGCAGAAGAAACCTTGAGAAAAAAAATGACAGCTGTCTTCATAGGCCTGAACAGGTGTTTTATACAGAACAGAAATCCTCTATATCCATGCAACCTACTGCAGATTTTGCCTTCTTTTAACAATGAAATCAGTAATTAGAAAATACTGTTTAGGGGTCTTAGCATAAAAGCTTACCAAGTTTATCTGAAACCTTGATTAAATCAATTGTATGCTGCATACAAGCTTTTATGCTAGCAACATTTTAATTATTGGACTGGTACAGTGGCTACTATGTTGGATACGGAAGTAAGGAATCTTTATGAATGTAAAGAAAACTATGTAGCATCACACCATCCACCATCTCTGTAAACCAGCATTCTTTTTTGTAATGGTGAAGCAGATCCTATTACTGTAAGCTCAAAACAGGCTGTAAACTGAACTGCTTTTTTCTTCTGTTTTCCAGCAATTGATGAGTAACTCTGGCATGTTATTATTTTTAGCTTCCACAACTTGTAGCCCATAGTGCATTTCCATGAATATAAATGAATGTATATGGAGATTCCCAATCATCCAGAACATGGTTTACACAAAAGTGCTTTTCAAAAGGCAACTGGACTTTCTTGATTTTTTGCTTGGAAACATTTCATTTCTCATCCAAGAAGCTTCTTCAGTTCAGTTCTTCTGACCTGAAGAAGCTTTTTGGATGAGAAGTGAAACATTTTTGTGAATATATATCCATTTTAACTTTATTCAAATTTAAACCTCACTGTATAATCTGGCAATAAATTCCATATTTAATGCACTTAAAGAAATGTAACATAATTTCTTTTTATTTACTGAGAATCTTCCATTCAGTTTCATGTTTTTACATGCCAGTATTTTAAATCAGATAGAAGATTTGGGTATACTAACTTTCTCCACATTATGCAAAATTGTATGTATCTTACTATTTAAAAAAATAATAAAGTACTAAACGTTTTTGAGAATGTAGGATTTATAACAGAGCTAAATGTACATTAAATGGCTACTGGGATTTTACACATTCAAATAATCTATCAAAAACATAAATAATATACAGGTGAAACTCAAAAAAATAGAATATTGTGCAAAAGTTCATTTATTTCAGTAATGCAACTTAAAAGGTGAAGCTAATATATGAAATAGACTTATTACATGCAAGACAAGCTCAAACCATGATCTGTCATAATTGTGATGATTATGGCTTACAGCTCATGAAAACCCCAAATCCACAATCTCAGAAAATTAGA